ATGAGTTATTTTTTTTCTGTTTTAACATTTTTTTTTCTTAAGTAACTTTCCAATTAACTTGTACATTTATTACAATTAAAGTGTTACTACTACTACTACTACTACTACTACTACTACTACTACTTCTACTACTACTACTACTGCTGCTACGGTTACTACTACTACTACACATACACACTATAAATACACACCGACACAAATACACACACACACATACACACATACAAATACACACACACACACATACATACATACATACATATAGTACATACATACATACTTACTTTTACTATGACTACTACTACTGCTGCTGCTGCTGCTGCTACTACAACGACTACATCCACAATACTTACTCCATTAACAACAGTCTGTTACCAAAAAAAACATACATATAGATAAACAATAGTAATTGGAGAACATGCCTCTTCTCGCACTCGTACCAGCCAGCGTACGACACCATTCAACTGTTTAGGGATAAACTGGCCAGGGATAGATCATGCCGAAAAGCCTATCTGTCCCGCGAAAAACTTAAAAAACTTTTTTTGAAAAAGTTGTTTAAAAGTAAACTGCAACAACAACGACGACAACAACAACAACCACAACGACAACAACAACCACAACGATATTGTCAACAACAACATCACCAACAGTTACTATTACCTCATCAACAACAACAACAACAACAAAAACAGCACCTATTACCATTATTACGTCACCAAAAACAGCAGCAACAACAACAACAACAACAAAATGAACAAAAACAACTGCAACTACGATATAAGACATCATCACCGTCCTTCACAGACACTAATAATAATGATAATAAAAAGTTTCTGCCATTTTGGATTATGTTTCCCTCCGAAAATTCAAATTCTCTTTCCGGATTATACTTACCAAAGACTAAAAATAGGCTGAAAAAACGTTTCGGAAGTAACGATGTACCTGAAATTATATCAGGAAACCTTCAAAAGAATGAATTTGAAAACTTTGCTGATAATATTTTTAAAAAATGCTACCAAAATGTTTATTTGGCTTTCACCAAAAGCGGAAAAGCTAAATTATCAAAGACTATAAATATTGGCAGAAATGCTATGCTCATTATAAAACGCTCAAATATGTGAATTTTATTTTTATCTATGCTACTTTGTAATTTATTATTTTTTGTTTCAGTTTAATGTTCGTTCTTTTGTGTAGTATTCGTGTTAATTTATTTCTTCGTTCATTCATTCATTCATTCATTCATTCATCCATTCATCCATTCGTTCAAATAACTTCTCAACTGATTAAGATTCGATTGCGATAATGTCATTAGCTGAAAATTTAAAAATAATTGAAAATGAAATTTAATGTAACACATAATGTAACAATTACAGTCTTGATGTAATTAATGTGATTTGATTTTATAACGTTGAAGTTATTTAATGTAATGTATTGAAATGTAATGTAATGTTATGTAATGATTAACCCTATGATCCCTTCTTTATGTCAATTTATTTTTAATTTTTACTACTACTATTACTACTACTACTACTACTACTACTACTACTACTACTACTACTACTACTACTACTACTACTACTACTACTTTAACTACTACTACTGCTAGTGCTACTACTACAGCTACAACTACTACTACATCTCTTACTGCGGCAACTACTACTACTACTACAAATAATAATAATTGTTATCATTTTCATAACAGTAATTATAACAATAGATAAATAAATTTATTTATTTATTTATCTTTGTTAGTCACATACACGACTAATATACACAACAACAAACACACAAAAATGACGTCACGGATGTACAAAAAAGTAAACAACCTAATTTAAAACACGCAAGACCTTTAATTATTATTTTAATAATTTAATTAGTTGATTAATTAAATAATTTAAATTAACATTATAAAAAAAATAAATTACTTAAGATTAATTAATTATTATGGTAGTAACATTTGAACGGTAAGTATTTGAAGTATAACTACTCAAATTTTTATAAGTTTTTCCAATAATGTAACACGACACACACACACACACCACACGCACACACACACCACACACACACAAACATAAATTATTATTTGCACTTTCAAGTCTTAAAACAATTAAAAATCATACATCCTTCTATATTTAAACATGATCATTTATCTAAACTAAAGCGAAGAAAGCGCAATGAAAAGCGAAAATTTCTCGAACTTGATGGCAAAAAAACCGAAAAAACCCCGCGGATCCTCGATGAGTTCGCGCCGAATCGACCGATACTTTGCCGAGGCTGAACTTGCTAGACCGGCCGGTAAAATGGATAAAAGTGCCATCACTTTTTTGCAAAACTACACTAAACAACCAGGCAATGACACTGAACTCGAATCGGAAGATTCGGAAACCGAAGAATTCGACGAATACTTGCCGAGACCGAAGAAACGTCTAAGAAGATCGACCAGTGTCAAGTTCCCACATCCTAGAAGGCAGCAGGAGCAACAAAATCAATACGCCGAGTATGAATACCGTAAGTTAAGATGGCAATCATTTATTATTATCATTATTGTTAATTAAAATTCATTATTTTATTACTATTATTAGTTGATTATTTACAATTCTTTTTGGAATTCAACCAAACCCAGGCAGACCCAAGCGCGCACATTTCAACTGGACAAAGGTGAATTTTATTATGAATTATATATATAAATAAATAATAATAACTACACACGCACACACACATATATAAACTTACTCACACACACACACTCACACACACACAAGGAACTGCGTAACAACAGCAGTAGTGCCAACAACAACCAATGGGAAGTGACGGAGGAGGAAGTGGAAGAATACCGGAGGAGAAAAAGGATGGAGAAGGAAGAGGCTCTGGAAAAAGAGGAGGAGTCCAATGGATCACCCTCTCTGGCGACTACTGGACTTTACATCACTGCTGCCTCTCTTTTGGCTGCTGGCGTCACCATGGCTATCGTCAAGAATAAAATCTTTTTTTAGTTTTGCGGATTGAGTGAATGAATAAACGAATGAATGGTTGGATGAATGAATGCATGAATGAGTTGACAGAGAAACCATTTTTCATTCGACATTACTGCTACCATTAAAAATGCAAACTTATTTTTACAAAAAACCGTTATATGTTACATATCTATAAATAAAGGAATACACACACATACATTCATACACACACAGACGCACACGCACACACACACAGACGCACACACACACAGACGCACAAACCTACACATACAAACTCGATTATATACGAAAAATTACTTATAATTGGACCGAACTTTTGGGAAAAATTTGAAAAAAATGCAATCTTGTTCTAGAAACTTAACATAATTACAAACCCAAGTTACTCAATTGTAGGAAACCATTTCAATTTGAAACCGTCCAAAAACGCGAATAAGACTGCCAAAACTGACATAATAATTTATGTTTTTAACCGCAACGGCCGAATATTTCTTAAATAAAATCTTGCTTTGAAATCAAATTCACGCTCAAGTAAGCGAAGAAAGTCTGATTTGACAAACTGTAACACTACTTTTTCAAGAAATAAAACGTGTGGATATGTGAAACTTACACACAAACTCACACACACACACACATACAAAAATACAAATCTTTGCCAATAATCATAATCATCATTGATCATCACGATTAATCTAGAAAGACTCATCTAATTGAGAGTCCTCAAAATGATTATTATTATTACTATTGTTATTATTATTATTATTATTATTATTATTACTATTGTTCTGAGATCTGTTTGACTTGCACGTGTAGAGAAAACACGTCAGAACGTCTTTCTGGTCAACTTGAATTTTGCTGAAGTGCCTGGCAACAATCTGTTTTTGTATATTTGTTTGTACGTGTACGCGCACGCTCGTATGTATGTTTGTATGTATTTATGTGGGTATGTATGTTTGTATGTACTGCACTGTATATATATATATATATTTATAACAAAAATTATCACAGAAAACACAAAACAATAATTTTTGAATAAAATAATAAGCACATTCACAAACACACACACACACAGACTAACATCGGCCAGCTGGGCCTTATTACATCCTGGCTTTGAAATTAATTTAAAATTTCTTTTGTACCTCCTAAGTAGACTCAAAGGTAACATCAAAAAGTTAATCTGAAATGAAATTTAATAAGAAAATATTAAATTGATAAATGGATAAAAATAATTTTTCATTTAAGATTTCATTTAAAATTAACCAAAATTATACATATAATTAATGATATTATTAATGCTTACAATAACAATTATATTGTTAATAATAATAGAAATCAAGGTCATACATGCATACAGACATACTTCCGAATGGCTGGTTTTGTCATTCGAATATGTCACATCCCTATTATTATGACTATTATTATTATCATTATGATTATTATTATCCCTTGATTTTTGATGTTGCTGGTTTCTATAGTTCTGGATCATGTTCTTGTGGTGCTCGCATATGTACATCTGACTCACCTATTATTTATGTATTTGATTTAAATTTTGCCAAATAATCATTTAAAAGTTATAAATTGAAACCTAATTAGTATCTAAATAGTCATAAGATCAGACAATAATATAATATTATTATGACTATAATTAAGTTTTAATTTTTAAAAAATCAATAATAAAACTAAAAAATTACTAAAAACGCAATTATCTACCCCGGGGTCTACAACAAATTTCAATCTTTTTTGCTGGACTGTCTTTTGAATTCTTTTATTGTAACAGGCATTACCGGCCGGCCGTACGCACCTAACTCCTGATTCTAACAAACAGCATGTAGTAGTGGAGCTATTTTTCCGTCTAAAAAAGTCATTGTCCGTATTGTTAGACGACAGCATTTTTTTGAATTTATTAATTATATAATTTAAAATATTTTTTGTGATTTAAATTTTTTGTCTATCACTAACTAAATCATTCAATCGTAAACACTTTTATTTATTTACCATAAATAAAATAGGTTAAAAGTTTACTTTTAAATCAAGATTTAAATGTAAGTATATTTTGAAGCGCTTTCTTTAACAAACATGTTCAATGGTTCAATAATATCTATCCTATTCTTGGAATAAATAATACTCTTGTTTTTGTTTACAATGCTATGTTATTTGGCAAAATAAACAATAAAAAATTGTATTACCCTTTTTATATTTTTCATGTTGTGTTACTTTGATCTGTAATATTAAAAAGAATAATATTTAACGCAAAAAATGGTAGACCATTATAAGCATTTTTCCCTCCTTAATATCATCATTTATTTTTCCAACATCAAAATAACGAAAGGAGAGTTCAAAATGGAAGATTCTTACGTAGGTTGCTACCGAAACGTATATCCAACTAAGACGAAACCCTCGGTATACAACGTGCTGGAATGTGTGGAGTTTTGCATTGGAGAGACCAGCAACATGATTGCATTGATCTATGGTAAAAAATGTAGTTGCATTGATAGATTGGATTCAGCAGTGGCTTCCTATCGCTGCGATATTCCATGTAGCAACAACGACACGTGTGGCGGCGGTAGGGTGTATTCCGTTTACAAGGGCAAGCCTCGAATAATGCACGATGCTTTCTTCGGCACTGACAACATTCAGCAGGCTACTGTTGTGAATAATTTGCCGCACTTTTATTACTTAGAAATGTGCGCACATATCTGCTTAGAATTGAACTTGTCATTTTTTCAAACTATGAAAGATAACAAGTGCACTTGCCTCGATGCATATTCATACCTCGTTCCTCGCCGGACTAAGACAATATTGTGCAGCACGACATGCAACAGCGACAAGACCGAGATTTGCGCTTGCCACTTCAAGGGACTAGACACGTTGCCGGTAATTTTTTCGACTCGATTTCAGTACGATTTCCAGAGAGGCAAGTCCATTTATTCCCACTGTAAGGAGAAATTTTCAGAGTCGTTTTTGCCATGTCCTCCCAGCGGTTGCCAGGACGGTTGGAAAGGTGGGGCATGCATCGAAAGAGACTGTTCTCGAAACAACGGAGACTGCGGTCACGAGATGAAGTGCGTTGAGGTAGTAATAAACAGTTACGAATACGTCGAATGCGTCTGCCCTTACGGCACCGTAAGAAACAAATGGAATTTATGCGAGGTCTATAGGGAGAACATAGCAATTTTGAAACCATCAAACATGAGCTCGGTATTTCAGAGTGCCTATAACAGAACGAGTTACGGAGCTAATTATATAAACGACAATGTTTATGACGGCTTCACTTACTCCAAAATTGCAGATAACAAAAATGGGTGGATATCTGTGGACCTTACAATGCTTTACAGCGTAGGATTTGTAAGAGTTTATAATAAAATTTGTGAATCTGAAGCAGAATGTAGAGCTCTGGAAAAATTCATAATTAGACTCAACAAATCATTCGAACCGTTCAAAGGCGATTTTAGTAGTTTCCTCGACACATGCGGACACGGGCCCAGCCAAGTATTGCAGGGCGGAAATCCCATGGTTGTCATCTGCGAGAACTTCGCTCTTCGATCAAGATACGTCATCATTCAACAATCTGATACCTCAACGGATTTTGGAAAGTTGGCAGTGGCCGAATTAGAGGTCTACGAAGTCGGTTGTGACATTCTGAACGGGAGATGCAAGAAGAGTCAAAAATGCATGGATATCGTTGAACAATTTACGAATGTCGTCAGATGCCGTGAATGGGATTCCGTCCGGAACATTTCCAAACCTTTTTACGGATGCTTCGAGAAGGTGGATGCAGAGTACGAGCACGATGAGTACGGCCTCTCCTATGAAGCCTGTAAGAAAGTCTGCAATCTGAACAAATTCATCCTATCTGTTATGAAAGCTGGCATTAAATGCTCTTGCGGCAATAATGTGAGGGTGTACGACCAACTCTCGAAAGAACTCTGCCGGTCAGGTGACTTTCAATCGAATCTGGTCTTCTACACGTGTTTCACGGACCGCCGCGGCTTCTGTAACGATGTCTCAAATGATTTAGAGACCACCGTGGCCATCAGTTCCCACACTAACAGCAGCAGAACCGACGTAAAACTCATCGTCATCGGAGCATTAAGTGGGTCAATTTTTGTGATGTCCGCTATTTTTGCGGTGGTTTCTACGATGAGGAAGAAGAAGAGAGATGAGGAAGATGAGAAGAATAAAAATGAGGAAAGTGAAACTGAAGACGTGAAAGTGGACGTCATCTCGATGGATACCATCTCTGTTGATAATGTTTCCCAACTAGGCGACTCACAATACGATTGAACGCTCGCGTGTGAAATTTTAAAGAATTTAAATTGCCAAATGATAAATTCAATCTAAATTAACGTAAAAAATTAACTTTTTTAATTACGAATTCATTTCTCGGTAATAAATTTTCTTGCATTGTATTTTAACATGAAGAAAATTCTCAACTGCAATTTATTTGATTTAATTTTGGCATTTATATTTGGCAGAAATAAAAAGTTTTTATATATTGTTGCCTGGCATTCAATTCAAAGTGATTATTATTAATTAGTAAATTGAATCTAAACAAATAAGAGATAGTTTCCAATTAGTATTGCCATTTGTTAAGAAGAAAAACTTATATACGAACATTTAACGAACGAAATATTTTAGTTTTCTTGCAATATTATATAATATCCAACCCTAAAAAACTTAAAATATTGAAGAACATATTTAAGGATATCTCAGTAAGCCAAAACGCAAGTTTTGGCTTTCAGATGCGCAGTGCAAGACGTCGTCTTATCGATTTATACACAAGAACTATACAGAAACCTCCCACACACCACACATACAAACACACACACTTGCATACTTAAAGATACTTATGTATTACAAACATATATGTATGCCTTGTATTTTAAATTGTATTGAGCATGCACTGTCCATACACGCAGTTTTTATTTAGTTGCACCGTTCGTACAAATGCATGCATGCATGTATGTATGTATGTATGTATGTATGTATGTATGTATGTATGTATGTATGTATGTATGTATGTATGTATGTATGTATGTATGTATGTATGTATGTATGTATGTATGTATGTATGTATGTATGTATGTATGTATGTATGTATGTATGTATGTATGTATGTATGTATGTATGTATGTATGTATGTATGTATGCATGTATGTACATACATACATCGTACCGTATTGTATAAATATATGTATGCAACATGCACGCTCGAATTGCTCGAGACAGGCATTTTTTGTCGTATTTTAATTCGGTCTTTAAGTCTCATTTTTTACATACATACATACGTATATACATACATACGTACACACGCATAAACAAACAAACATACAAACGTACACACACACACATACACGTACACGAACGTACATACAGACAGACATTAGCATCCATAATAACGATGTTCACAAAAAAATTACGTTCATTTATGAAAGGTCAAGATAAAAAAATGAAAGATAATTCGCCTAAGAAGTCAGAAAAAAATGGCTGTTTTTGGGGCGGCTTTGGGGCTGAAAAAGAGGGTATAAAAGGGAGTTTGCGGGGTGAAAAGAAAAATTTAGGGGGTGGAAAAAGGGGTAGAAAGGTGGGTAGTGTAGTACTCTCTCTACCCTGGAATATTCAAATGACGGTTCACCATTCGCACCAGGACTTGCAAAGTTTGATTTTTGCGAAATTTTCATTTGTTAGTTTAATTTTTTTAAAAGCTTTTTCCCATGTTTTTTTAAATTAACTATATTAAATGAATGAATATTAAAACGCTAAATATATATATATATATATATATATAATAATTGTATATATATATATATATATATATATATATATATATATATATATATATATATATATATATATATATATACCATTTATATACGTTTCTGTGTTTAACTCAAATAATAATTAAGATAATTGCTTTGCTATGAAAAAATAGCTATAAGAACATAGAATATTAATAATAACAACAATAATTTTAGTTATAATAATAATAATTATAATAGGAATAATTATAGCTATAATAATAATAATTATTTTTATTAATTACGTTCGAAAACCTATTGTTAGTAGTTAAAGCCAGGCTTATAAGGCAGGTAGGTATATTCATAAATTTCAACTTTACGTTCTCAGTACCTTTTTGAAAAAACTTATTTTCACTTATTATTGTTATTTTGTTATTATTATTATTATATTATTGTTATTATTATTTTATTATTATTATTTTATTATTATTATTATTATTTGTAAAATTATGAATGACCAAGTAGCTACGAGATTGAAAGGTTGAAGTATAACCGTTATTATTGTTAAGCACACACACACGCGCACACACACGCACACATACACACAAACGAATATCTAAACAGATAAACAAGACGACGTTCAGAGAAAAACATTCACTAAATGGATTAACTCCTGTCTAAATGTACAAGTTAATAATTTATAATAATATATATAATGACAATTATAGTAATAATAAAAACATTATTATTACTATTAATTTATTACTAGGGCAGATCATATGGGGTTGTGGTTGATCTATTCGATGACATTAAAGATGGAGTTTTGTTGCTGAATCTCCTGATGACTCTATCCAACGAAAAGCTGGTTGTTATTATTGTTATTATTATTGTTGTTAATGTTATTATTATTATTGTTGTTGTTATTTTTTGTTGCTTCTTTTGTTGCCCGTGTTCAACAAACTTGATAAGTGAGCAGACAAATGAACGAGAGAATGAACCAACAGACGAACAAATGAATCAATGATTGGAGAGTGATTGAAGAAATGAAAGAGGGATAGACCGAATGAAGGAATTAATGAACGAAGCAACAAATGACTGATTGAACGAACAAATAAAAAAACAAACGAATGAATGAATAAATTTCCCACAAAACAGCCTATCGAAAAAGGTGACAAAAATGGAAAGACAAAACGAATCCATCACATCAGTAACATTGGCACGGCTTTAGCATATCTCAGGAATAAACAGGTAGAAACATATTAGTAGTAATTGTAGTGGCAGCAGTAGTAGAAGCAGCAGCAGCAGCAGTAATAATATTATTATTATTATTATTTTCTGACAAAAGATAAAACTCGTGAACATAAACGCTTCGGACGTTGCAGATGGCAAGCCTTCAATTGTTCTTGGACTCATTTGGACCATCATTCTTCATTTTCAAGTAAAAAAAGTTCATTTGTCGTGTGTGTGTATGTGTGTGTGTGTGGTGTTGTGTGTTGTGTGTGTGCGTGTATAGTTGGTACATGTGAGAGTTGATTAGAAGAAAATTAAAAAGCTTAATAGTATGTATTGAAATATCAATAATTGCAACAATGAAAAGATTGAAGAGTCGACAAAACTGTTGAAGTCTCCAAAGCAGAAAGCTGTTGAACAGCAGCCACAACAGCAGCCACAGCAGCAGCTAAAACAGCCACAGCAGCAGCCACAACAACACGCAAAAATTACTTTAACAAAACCGGCAACAACATCAAAACCATTGGCGAAATCTATTGCTACTTCGGACAAAGAACCTAAAGAGAAATTACTCAGTTGGATAAATGAATCTATAAGCAAGTCAGAAAATTTTTCTGCGCTATATAAATGAATGAATGAATGAATGAATAAATGATTAAATAAATAAATAAATGAATTAATCAATCAATGAATAAACTATAGAGTAAAAAACGAATAATTTAATAAATGATTTAATTAATTCCACTCATACACGAAAACCAAGAAAATATGGATTAGAAGTTAAGGATTTCGGAAAAAGTTGGCGAGACGGAATTGCATTTAATGCACTTTTACACACACTGGACCCCCACGTTGTGGACATAAAAACTGTTTCCGGTTCGTCTGCTGCTAGTAGCGGAAAAGAAAACTTGGAAAAAATTTTTTCTGTGGCGGAAAATTTTTTTGGAATTCCAAAACTTTTAGACCCAGAAGGTTTGTTGATGTTTGATTGGTTGGCTGATTGGCCATCATTGGCTATCACCATCATCATCGTCATCATCGTCATCATCATCATAGTCGTCATTATCGTCATCATCATCATCGTCGTCGTCATCATTATCATCGTCATCATGTTACTTAGATGTTGATGTTGACAATCCTGACGAACGGTCAATAATGATATACGTTTCCAAGGTCATTGAAAAGGTCAACAAAGTTCGAGTTCAAGGTCAAGTGGGAATTCCCAATGGAATTGAAAGTAACTAATAAGAATAATGATACCGATAAATAATTTAGTTATCTTTATTTTCATTACTATATGCGATTTTTTAAAATTACCAGCAAACCGTTTGTCACTGAGCAACAACAACATCAACAACAACAACAACATCATTAACAACAACAACATCAACAACAACAACAACATCATTAACAACAACAACACCAAAACCAACAACAACAACAACAACAACAACAAAAGCAACTACAACAACATCAACAACAACATCAACAACATCAACAACAAAAATAGCAACAAAAATGTTTTAAAACTTATTGAAATTGTAAGAAATAGCAACAACAACAAAAACAATAATATTAATCACGATAATAATAATAGTAATAATAATAATGATAAAGAAAACGAAGATGGATTGAAAGAAATAAAGGTTAAAACGAATGCAGTGATTGAATGGACGACGTTAGCCTCTGTACTAAATACAAGCGAAAATGGAAACATTAAAAAATACAATAAAGTTGATACTACAACAACTACTGCTGCTACTACTTTTACTACCGCTGCTACTACTGCTGCTACTACTACTTCTACTACTGCTACTACCCCTACTACTGCTGCCGCTGTCGTTACTTCTTCTACTACAACAAACTACGATGACAATAATTACGCCTATGTTGGTGTTTCATACAATGCTACTGACAACCCTAGTGAATTTTTAAATACTAATAATAATGTTAATAATAATGATAGAAACAATAATGATAATAAGATGAATGACGTCACCGATGACGTAGATGGTGGCGGAAATAGATTAGAAGATACTAAATATGAAGAGGTCTACAGGTCGCTAAAGTCGAAATTAGTTCGAGAACTGGTGAAAATAGAGGAACTTATACTGGATCCTTTTAGGCAAGTGTCATTTTTCAATCATCATCATCACCACCATTTACAATGTCGTGATCGTTATCACGATCAACAACAACAGCCTCATCATCATCATCATCAACAACAACAACAACAACATCATCATTATCATCAACATCGTCATCTGATGTGCAATGTTTGCAAGAAAGACTTAGCCACTTTTGAGGTTTGTGAGTGCGAATGATTAGCAAATAATAACGCATTAAATAATAAAGAGAATTATACACACGCACGCACGCACACACACACACACACACACAATAGAATTTGAAACAGGAAACAGAGGAATTAGCCAAAGACTATCTAAACGAAATGATAACGATTTCCAAGAAATTTGATAACTCAAAATGGCTACACAGAGATACGAATAGTATTTCAATAAGATATAATTATGACAAAGATATCATTGAGGTTTGTTTGTATTTATATTATTATTATTATTATAATTATAATAATAATAATAATAATAATTATTATTATTATTGTTATTATTATTACATTAGGATATAATATCAAGATACAAGAGCGGTGAGAAAATAAGAAATGATTTTCTTTCATCCACTGAAAAACTCATTCAGTCAATCAATGATGATGATGATAGTATCAATAGTAATAATAATAATAACAACAACAAAAATAGTATCAATAATGATAACATCAACAACAGCAATGACGTCATCGTCAACAACAACAACAACAACAAAGAACTATACAATCAGATATTAATAGAGGATAATAGAGACAAAAAAAATGTCCCAACAACAACCACAACAACATCATCATCACCACCAAAAACAACATTATCATTATCATCACCAACAACATCATCATCACCACCAACAACATCATCATCATCACCAATAACAACATCATCATTGCCATTACCAACAACAACAACATCATCATCATCACCATTGGCTAAATCAGGATCATTATCATCAATAACTGCAGTGGCGATAATAGAAAATTTACAAGGAAATAACGGAAATGAATCATCCCAACATAACATAGATAAATTAGCAGAGGAAAACAAAAATAAAGTAGCAGAAAATCTTTACAAAGACAGCGTAGCAGAGAGTAACATAAACATGAAATTATTTAAATCTACGGTAATTATTAGTCTTTTGAAAAAGTTTAATGAAAAAAATGAAACGCTAAGTGAGTGCTTGGACGAACTCCGCGATCTAAAACACTACGTCAACAACAACAATAACAACAACAACAACAACAGCAACAGCAGCAGCAGCAACAATAACAACAACAATAATGACTTAGATGGTCTCGAAAACCTTCAAGAAAAGACGAACGTACGAGCGAACGAATTGAATGATAAATTCGAAAGGTAACATAACAATAATAACAACAACAACAACAACAACAACAACAATAATAATAACAATAACAATAATAAAAATAATCATAATCATAATGATAACGATGATAATGATGAGAATAGTTATGATGGTTAACGTTGAACGAACGAACACGAGTTTAATGCATACATACCTATACAGTATACATATCTATTTTTAACAGTAGCATTTTATTATTCTTATTATTCTAATTATTATTGTTATTAATATTAATTATTATTATTATTATTGTTATTATTAACTTTTTATTCAGTCTGGAATGCAAGTTAAATGGGCTATTGGAAAAGAAGATGGAACTGACCAATGAAATTGCGACTCTATTGGATGGAGTGAATGACGATTCCATTTACGGTGACGTCATTAGTAAGGTTTGAATGAATGAAAGAATGAAAGAATGAGTGAATGAAAGAATGAATGAATGAATTATTGATTGATTGATTGAACGAAAATGTTTGAATTTATCAGCGTAATGCTTGTTTTAAAATCAGATCCTACTCATAAAAAAGTTTAGTTACAATTGCTACTACTACTGCTACTACAACTACTACTACTATTGCTACTACTACTACTAATACTACTACTACCACCACTACTACTACTACTACTACTACTACTACTACTACTACTACTACTACTACTACTACTAATACTAATACTAATACTACTACCACCACTACTACTACTACTACTACCACTACTACTACTACTACAACAACAACTACTACTATAAATAATAATAATAATTTTGATGTTTTTCCATTAGAAGAAGACAGTTTGTTCGTCGTCAGCCAATCATGTCAAAGGAAATAGGTCGTCACGTAGTAATAATAACAGTAATAATAATAATGATGACGATAATAATAATAACAACAACAATAATAATAATAATAATGATAACAAAAAGGATGATATTTATAATAGTAATAGTGATAATAATAATGAGGAGGAGGACAATATTACTACTACTACTACTACTACTACTACTACTACTACTACTACTATTACTACAGCTGCTAATGCAGCTACCACTACCACCAATGTTACTACTACTACTACTACTAATAATAATGATACTAACAACCCATCATCATTTATAAAAGGCATTCAGCCTTATATCAGTAACTTGTTCAAAATTTTTGATTTGAAAAAAAATTTACTTGAGTCTGCTACTGCTACTACTACTACTACTACCACTACAACTACTACTACTACCACTACTACAACCATTACTACTACCACTACTACAAATACTGCTGCTAATTCTATTGCTGCTACTACTACAGCTACTGCATCTAATGCTACTAATTTTATGGCGAATGGCAGTACTAATACTAATACTACAGATTGCAATGGAAGAAATAATTTCACTACTGCTAGTCCTGCTACTATTACTACTGCTGCTGCTACTTCTACAGCAGCTATTGCTGCTACTTTTGCTGCTGCAGCTGCTAATAATAATAATAATAATAATAATAACAATAATAATAATAATGGTAATAATAAATTTTCTGAAATTGACTGGAACATGATGACGAATGCGAGAGCTAATGACCGTACAAAAAGCTTTTCCTTCGTTTCAAAGTAATCTTTCAATCGCTGTCATTGTTATTGTTGTTATTATTATTATTGTTATTATTATTATTGTTATTATTGACCCTCAATCAAGGTATCTTAAAAGAATTAAAGCAGATCGTGACGACGACGACGATGATGATGCTGGTAACGATTTCGCAAAAACTTTAAGTTTACTGGCATCAATGACATCAACAACAACATCAGCAACTACATCAGCAACTACATCAACAACAACAACATCAGCAACTACATCAGCAACTACATCAACAACAACAACAGCAGCAGCAACAGCAACAACATCAACCTCAACTGCAACAACAGCAGCAACATCAATAGCAACAACATCATCAACAACTACATCAATAGCAACAACAACAACAACATCAACAACAACAACAACAAACTCGGACAAAAACCTCAAAAACCTCGTCCCACTGCAGACGCTTATGTTAACGTTAATTGCACTTGCATGCCTTTATCCGCTTTCAAATAGAACATAATAATAATAATAATAATCATCATCATCATCATTATCGATAGCTGCAGCCTCATCATCTTTAACCACATTAAGTTTTTGATCAAGTCATTCGGCCAATCTAGCCAACTGTCCTCAAATGAATTATGCTAAATAATAATAAAATGAATTATGCTAAATAATAATAAAATGAATTATGCTATGATTATGCTATTATATTATGATTATGTAATAATAATTTTTCAAGATGCTCCTCTATATACGCCTGTATATTTTCATTTCAATTTCAGCAAATAAAACAGTAAAACGAAATACATATGGCTATCACTTCGGTATCATTATCAAAACCATCGTCATCATCATCCTCGCTGTAATCATTACCATAATTAGCCCCACCACCACCACCATCGTCGTCATCATCATCATCATCATATAGATACTATCAATGAACGACAGAACGAACGAGACGAAAAAAAAGAATAAAATGGAAAAAACAACAAATTATATTATTGCAATTGATATAACAGTATATATAGTGAATATATATATATGTATATATATATATATATATATATATAATACATTGATTGAGCTTTGAAAGACTTTAAGCATATAACTGACAATATATTTATGATACAATTAAGATTAATGAAAACGTATGTATGTGTGTGTGTGTGTGTATGTGTGTATGTATGTATGTTCGTACGTTCGTACGTATGTATGTTTGTATGTTTGTTTGTTTGTTTGTTTGTATGTTTGTGTTTGTGTGTTTGTTTGTGTGCATCAGTTGAACGCTTTCAATACCGTTTGTATTAATAAAAAAATGGTCTTAAACCTTTACAAAATTATTTGTTATTGTTAAGAATTGGAATGAACATGACACACAAACACACACATACATATATACACACGTACACAGACATACACACGCACACGCAATATATATAGAATAAACTCAAGTAAAAGCTTATTTGAGTGTGTTGCCGACGCAATTATTTTTGTTGATGTTGATGTTTTTATCGTTGTTGTTGTTGTTGTTGTTGATGATGTTGTTTTGTTGCTGATGTTGTTGTTGATGTCTTTGTTAATGATAGTGTTAAAGTAACTAAACAAAGCAAACCAAATTAAAATAAGGAAAGTAATAAAATATATATGTGAATAATTTTGAATAATTATATATATATATACATGTGTGTGTGTGTATGTGTGAATGTGTATGTGTGTGTGTGTGTGTGTGTGTGTGTGTGTGTGTGTATAACCACACGCGCGTTAAAATGTGGACAACAGAAATGGATATGAAATCTCCAAAAAATTGTAATGGTTTGTAGGTACTTGGGTTTGTCTGTATGTTTTTTGTATGCATGTATGAATGTATGTGTGTGTGTGCATGCGTGTGGTGTGTGTGTTTGTGTGTGTGTATGTGTGTGGTGTGTTTGTGTTTGTGCAAGTTGTCAAGCAGGAAAGGATGTAAAAATAAGCGCGCTGAGCAATTTATCAATGAAATGATCGAATGAATGATGAATGATTGAATGAATGAATGAACGAATGAATGAATAAAAGATGGATGGATGGAGAGAACGAAGAAATGAAAAAATGAAAAGCGAACTTTGAAATATTCAAAAATGTTCAAAAATCGCAAACTGTTAAAAAAAAACGAAAAATTGTCAGACAGACAGAATACGTTTTACGAATTCAATATAATTATAATAATTCTAGTCATAATTATAATAATTATAGTTATAATTATTTGAAAAAAAGAAAAAAATATATTTCTTCATTCCATGAAACATTTTGTATGTATGGATGTATGTGTTTGTTTGTTTGTGAGCGTGTGTGTGTATATGTATGTGTGTATGTGTGTGTGTACATGTGTGTTGATAAAGACAGTATTTGTTCATTCCATGAAACATTTTAAATGAATGAATGTATGTGTTTGTTTGTTTATGTGTTTATGTGTGTGTGTGTGTGCGTTTGTAAATGTGTGTGTATGTGTGTAAGTGTGATTTTCTAGTTTCCATAACAGTTTTTTAATCTTTCATCTTTTCTTCTTCGTTATCGTAACATGATCTTGGCGAATTCTGTTTGAATGTTTGTATGTATGTGTGTGTATGAGTGAGTGTGCGTGTGTGTGTATGCGTACATAAATGTGTTTGCATATCAATATTATCCCAGAACCATCTTTAATTAAAATAAATAATTCTGTAAGAATCTAATCTTGCAATTTAGAAGACCTTCCAATCAATTAACCAATCAATCAACCAACCAATTAATCAATCAACCAACCAACCAATTAATCAATCAACCATTCAATCAATCAACCAAACAATTAATCAATCAACCATTCAATCAATCAATAGATCATTTCTAATCCCAACCCTAACCCTCAACCAATCGCCAATCAGCCACCCCAGCACTTCTTGACCAATCACAGACCCTCGTAATCAATGGCTCCGTCTCCATTGATGTCAGCCTCCTTCATCATCTCATCCACTTCCGTTTCCGTCAATTTCTCCCCGCAACTCATCATGATGGCCTTGAATTCGTCAGCGTGAATCAGCCCACTACCATCCCGGTCGAAAATTTTAAACGCCTCGCGAATGTCGGCATTTAGATCGACCTCGACAAACTTTCGCGCCATTAATCTGATGAATTCCATAAAATCCACCGTCCCGTTTCCTGGATGGTTGGTTGGTTGTGATTGGTTTGTTGGTTGGTTGGTCGGTTGGCTGGTTGTTTGGATGGTTGGTTGGTTAGTTGGTTGGTTGGTCGGTCGGTTGGTTTGTTGATTGGTTGGTTGGTTGGTTGGTTGTTTGGATGGTTGATTGGTTTGTTGGTTGGTTTGTTGGCAACAATAACAACAATAATAAAATCAATTCTACTGATAATATTAATAGCAAACATAAAATTAAGAGTATTTAGAGATAAAACCATCAATTAAGCGTAAGACTTATCGTCGCAATCCTTGATTAATGTACAATGGTGGTAGATTTAATTAAAAGTGTACACACACACACACGCACACAAACACATACACACACACTAACACACACACACATATGTACGTAAATACATACATACATACACAGATAACACATTTTCATACATATATAAGTGAAAACTGATTGATCGATTTCATTGAAAAGTTATACACATACCCACACACACATACATACACACACACAAACACACATACCATACAAACACACCAATATACCAAGCAGAAATGATGGATTGAAGCTTATTTCGGCGATATAACGCGATGACATTTTTCAAAAACTTGACACGACACTGGACACATATTGAAAATGAAATGAACCAAAATTTGGATGGACATATTTTAGAGTGGCCACATGTGAACAAATGCTGTTTGTTTGTCCTTTCGTTTGTTTGCTCGTTCGTTTGTTTGTTCGTTCGTTTGTTTGTTCATTCGATTGTCAGTTTTCTACCAAAAAAATTTTAAACTCAAGGAATATTACTACCATATAAGCATGATCCTACAAAAAATAAACTCCTTAGAGAGTAAAGCTCCATAGAAAGTAAATTCCAAAGAAAATGATTCCATAGAAACTTAATTCCATAGAATATTAAGACCCCAAAACTCGTAACATCGTAATAAAAGTTGCACACGCATTGTCAATATAGAACATAACTGGAAATTTATCACGGGACCTTTTTCTCTCTCTCTTTTTCTTCCCCCCCCCTCCTCTCTCTCTTTTGTTCTTCATTCTCCCAAACACACGCTCCTTTCTTTTTTATTCTTCTTTTTATCTCATCATTTAATTTTTCAAAAAATTTAAAATTTTTTTCAAGCCATCCCATTTTACGTTATAAAATAAAAGTTAATGTCATCTACATAAACTTTGATTCGTTCAATCACTACCCTTTTCTTTCCTCTCTCTCTCTCTCTTTCTCTCTTTCTCTCTCTTTCACACACACAAACAAACAAACACACACACAAACACGCTTCATACGGAAAAGCTTAATGGATGGATTAGCGCCCGCAGAGCAGCAGTGAATTAAATATAAAAATACAGTTTTGTTCTTGTTATTGTTACTATTATTATTATTATTATTGTTGTTGTTGTTAATATTATTATTATTTTTATTATTATTTCTATTCAATTAGCAATTAGTTGGATGAGACAGGCTTCAAGGATTGTGTGTCCATTAAATGAAAACCATATGGATGGAAGATGAAGCTTGTTTGTTTGCTGAAGAGATAGAGAGGGACAGAGAGAGAGAGCGAAAAAGAGAGAAAGAGAGATAGAGAAAGAAAGAGAAAAAGAGAAGGAGAGAAAAAGGAAGAGAGAAACAGAGAGGATGACAAAATAAAAATGAATAAATGAAGTGGGAGAGAGAGAGAAAGAAAAAATTTTAAATGATATTTGTTTGCCGGCTGCCTGGGAAGATAGAGATAAAGAGAAGAAAGAAAGAGAGAGAAAGAGAAAAGAGAGAGAGAGAAAGAGAAAAGAGAGAGGGAGAAAGACGGAAAGAGAGAAAGAAAGAAAGAAAGAGAGAGAGAAAAAGAGAAAAAGAGAAAAAAGAATGAATAAACTAATTTACACAAAAAAGTAGAAAGAAAGAGAGAGAGAGAAAGATAGAGAAAAGGAGAGAGAGAGAGATAGAAGAAAAGAAAGTGAAGATTAAATGAATGAAAAATAAAAAAAAATTTTAGGAGAGAGAAAACATGATGAAAGAGGGGAAGAAATGAAGTAACAGAAGCTAAAAGAGAGAGAGAGACAGAGCAAGAAAGAGAGAATAATAATAATAATAACAACAATATAATAATAATAATAACAATAATAATAATAACAATAATAATAATAAAAACACAGAGTAACGTGAGAATTAATGTACAATATTTTCCATTCGATTCGC